AGCGCTTAAACGGGTACTCAAACCGGTAGGTCCGGTACTAGTAGCTAGATAGACGCCAACAATTAAGATCCTCCTAGCGCCGATTAGGATAATAGGGATACCGGTAGCTAGACAGACGGGAACAATTAAGATCCTCCTAGTACCGATTAGAATAATAGCGATACCGGTAGCTAGACAGACGGGAACAATTAAGATCCTCCTAGCGCCGATTAGGATAATAGGGGTTTGAACGATTCAGACGGTAAGAAGTAGGCGACTATCGTAATTTCGAGCGGTAATAAGAGCTTAGAATACGATCTAGATACTAATCCTAGCGTTTAAACTAGTTATCCTCTAGCTAATAAGGAGAATACTTAGGACGATAATACGGTACCCCTAACGACAGAGGATAAATATCTCTAGGCTCTCCTCAATTATATTAATACTTAAGAAGAAGAAGACGAGGAGATAGCTTCCGAGAATTCAGATTTTCCTTTTAGGTAACTAGGTATACTGCTTAGTTAAGCAGATTTTTAGTATAGCGACAAGGATATAGGTACCTAGGATTAAGATATCTCGCTTAACTAAGACTACAATCCTTTCGATTATCTAGATTTAGAGGAGACGGGTCCTAATTCTCTCTAGGAGAGTCGACTAGATATAGAGAGAGAGGATAAAGAAGAGGAGTCGTAGTAGGAGTTTAACAAGGAGATAACAGAATTAGAGGATATAGCAAGGGCAGCGTATACGGTAGCTATAGATTAAGCGAATAATCGGGGTACGTAAGAATTTGTAGCTAGGAGAAGTATTAACAAGATACTAAGTATACTTATAGAAGAGCCTATTACCGAACGAGACAGACTAGAGACAGAAATTTTAGCTCGCTTTATCCTTAGAGCTACTTATTTAAGGATCCTATTATTAATAAGGACGGAGCCGGCTTTCTAAGCGGCCTAGCGAAGAATAGAGATACGTAAGGCCTAGAGAGTAAGGCAGCAGTATATAGTAATAGAAAGTCGGTTTAAATACTAGATACGCGTTCTAGCTAGGCTAGAGAAGGAGATATTAAAGCATTTACTATAAGCCTAAGATTTAAAGTAATTTGGTTTTTCTAATTTTCGTAATCGGCAGGTATAGTCGGTAGGTATTGTTAGCTATAGAAGGAGATGTTGAAGTACTTACTATAATCTTCTAATCTAAATTAATTTGCTTTTTCCTAATTCTCGTAGTCGGTAGGCATAGTCGGCAGCTATTATTAGCGAGTTTAGGCAGTACGGTATATACAAGGCTTATTACTATTCAAGAAGCGCTTACTATGTTTATTCTATATCTAGAAGAGGTTTTACATAATACCTATCGCAATAACTATTAGGTATACCTATTGGGTTTTTTCCGTTAGGTTGTACCTAGCTTATAAGCTAGGTACCTACCTTATTTGCGGGGTTAGGTATTAACGTTAGGTTGTACCTAACCTATACCTAACCTAACCTATAACGAGGCCTAGAGGTAGCTTTCGCTATCTCTAGGTAGTCGGCTACGGCTAGGGCGCTCGACGCCGGCGCGCTAGCTATAGTACTACTACTACCCTTCTTCGGCGTTTTATAGACACCGACGGCCTTGCCCTTGTTAGAGGCAAGCACCTTCTTGCTCTCTAGAATCTTACTCCCTAGACGCTGCAAGCGCCGTATTACCTATACTAAGCGTATGCCGGCCGTATAAGAACGAAGTACCGCGCGTAGGATACGTAGGTAGCGCGCCTAGCGAAGTAGGTCTAGGTCTACTACGCGTTCGTATACGTAGCGCCCTTTCGCGTACCTCTAGTACTTCTTCTTTCGGCCGGAAGCTATTACGCTGTTATAGGCGCGCTCGGCGATACCGTTCGCGTCTACTACTATTAGATTAGTAAAGAAACGTAGGTAAGGCGTACGTAACGTATAGGTGTCGACGTACCCTTAAACATATACTCTATATAGCGGAGGCAAATATTGTACGCTCTAGCCGCGACGCGGATCGCGCTCTAGGACGGGCTTCTCGGGCGCCTTTATAGCTGTTGCGCGCTTTAGAGGCATATCGCTTACGTATAGGTTACGAGGAGAGTACGAAGAGCTTGTAGTTTTCCGTAAAAAATAGATTTAGGGGAGAACTAAGGGACGAGGAAAAACACGTAGCGTAGAGGACGAAATATACTTACTCGTTACTATTACCTATTGCTAGGTAAAGCTTTTCTTCTATCGTATTCTACGGTCTATTAACTTCCTTATATTCTACTATATAGAATGCCCTAGGGTAACTACTAGGATTCCTAGTATAGCGACTAGCTTCTATATAGAATACGAATATCTCTATATACGCCCTATACGCGTTCTGTATACGATATATAGAAAACGTTACTAGAGACAGCTCTATTAGGGAGAGGAGATAATTGTAATAGCTAGGCCTAGAGGTATATAGCTCTAGAGGGCGGTTAGGTATTTAAGTCTAAGGTACGCCGGCCTAAGGCAGGACGGGCTACGGAAGCAGTACGATCCGAGTTGTTAGGTAATCGGCTATCGGGCGACCGCCCGCGCGGCGCAGCGCCTACATATACTTAGCGTAGGGGTATATTATACAACGCCGCTCTCTCCTTTCCGAAGGATAAGAATTAGTTTGTTCCTTTTCCTATACAGTAGGAAGGACGCTCTATACATTACTATATACCCCTACTCTTATAGAATTGCTATCGATTCTACGCGTAAATTTATATATATATAGTACTAATTAACTCGGATTAATGTATGTATCTATATATACGCGTCGCGTATATAGAATTCGTAGAATTCCGACGTTAGCGTATGTTTAGGTATAGTATATAATATACGTAGAGGGTATAAACTATAGGCGGAGAAAAAGATTAGCCTCTACGTTAGCAAGATTAGCCGACGTTCCGTACTACTAACGGGCTAGCCCGTAGGATATATTATTATAACTATACTAGTACTAACTTAATACAATCTAGAAGAATATATATATACTATTTGAACATACTACTAATATAATACTAATATATAAAGACCTCTATACTAGGACCTAGTAAGGTATTTAGAGTACTCTAGCTATAAAAACTAGCTTAAAATCATATACTCTAATTAGCGTATCCTTTATAGTAGGGTAGTCTCTAATTAAAGTTATACTAAGACTTTGATTAAGGTTTAATCAATTGATTAATAAAAGTTAAGAGACCTTAGGTTTAACTAATCTCTTAGTAATCAAAGTTAAGAGAGCCTTAACTTTAAAAGTCTTAAGGTTTAACTAGAGGTAGAAGAAGAAGAGAAAAATTCTTACTAAGAGAGGAAAAGGTAGGCAAAAAGTAGGATTTCTAGGAAAAAATCTAAGAAAAAAATTAAGAAAGCTCTAGAAAAGGCTATCTCCGTTTAGACGCTCTCTCTTTATGCTTCGGAAGCCTGAAGGAGAGAGGTCGTTCTATAATAACGTCAAACTTTCGGCGAATTAATATTTCGGGCTCTGATTACATAATCAATCAATCTTTGACTTTTTTTCACTTTGGTTTAATTGGAGACTACCCTGCTTTGTAGTAGGGCGCGCTAAATCTACTAGGCCTAATCCGTTACTACCTTAAAACAAAAGCCCGCTATAGGCAGAAAGACTACCTACCTCTCTGTCCCTATAGGCTACTCTATCTAAAATTCAGCAAAGAAGAACAAAGAGAAGAGAAGGACAAGGACAAGGACAAGGACAAGCGCAAGGAGAAGGACAAGGAGAAGGAGAAGGAGGAAGAGGAAGAGGAAGAAGAGGAAGCCTAGAAAGAAGAAGAGGCCTAGAAAGAAGAGATAGAGAAGAGACGAGAGACGAGAGACGAGACATATACGCGCGCGTATGCGCGCGTGTAAGAATTGAGATTGGTACGTACTCCGTACTAGTACTAACGGGCAGGCCCGTAGGATATATTAGTATAGTTGGTACGGAACGACCTCCAAGCCTTCCGAAGCGCATCGTAGGTCAGGTGCAGGGGGGAGTAGAGTGCCAATCAATCAGCAAAAAAAGTATATATATAGCTGTATATAGATGGAAATTCCAGAGAGCGCACGCTCTCATTGGCGCATCCTTTGCGGTGGGGCGCGCTAAATCCACTAGGCCCAATGCGTTACCACCTCAAAAAAAAAGCCCGCCGCAGGCGGGCAGACTGCCTACCTACCTGTCCCTACGGGCCACCTTGCCAAAAATTCAGGAAAGAAGGACAAGAAGAAGAGAAGAACCAAAGAGAAGAGAAGAGAAGAGAAGAGAAGAGAAGAGCAGAGAAGAGAAGAGAAGAGAAGAGAAGAGAAGAGAAGAGAAGAGAAGAGAAGAGAAGAGA